TCATTTTGCAGACTTCAAGTCGGTCTGGCTAACAGAAGATTCTAGGGTCAAAGTCCATGACACAATTTAACTGCATCATCACTCACAAAGGAAGGATGCACAGTACTCATTAATGCAACCTTCAAATGCAGTTAGGAGCCTTGAACATCTTTATTCCATATCCCAAATAAAGGAAACATAACAAGGTGAATTGCTCTCTGAGCAGCTGTACACACATAATCAAGAGCTGGATATAATTTTTTTGTGTGTTTTAGAGAAAAATGAAAAGGACATGGGAAAAGATTTGTAAAAATCATTGATAGTATAGGATAGTCTAAAGTATATTCCACTGTAATATACTATTTTTTTAAAAGGCCAATGGTAAGAATGGTCACTTTTGTACTAAAATTAGTGGTAATGCTGTTGTTTTGCTACCTTTATAAATACAAAGCAAAATGTTATCTTAAAAAAGATCTTTAAATAAGAACAGTGCTGTTAGCCTTAGAAGTATTTGATCCATAGGTAACATTTTACAACAGATGTGACCTTAAGAGCAATTATTCCAGTAACTGTCTTAAGCCTTTTGTTACTCCCTAGTCCAGCAATGACTTCCTTCTTCTATTTGGTTAATCTCTACCTCCCTATAAAGTGCATCTTGAGTCTCATTTTCTATAGCATTCTCAAACTTTACGACCACAGGAATTTTTCAGTGCACAACTGATGTGAATGACCTGAGATAATTTTTAAATGCAATGTTACTTCCATTGACACCTTTTAGGGAATAGCTCACAGGAAACCAACTCTCCCACCAACAATACTACTAAAAGCCAGACAAAAATCCAAACAATTGAAAAGTAAACAGGTATTTGAAGACATCAGAAAGTAGCCCAAGTAGCCCAAGTAGCCGGGATTTAAATGGGCAAGATCCTAGAGAGAAAAGAAATATGTTAAGGTGAGGCATATATTTTGTTTTTTCCTTTAAGGTACCTGCATTTCATAAGCAGCACTGTATGAAGGCCTTGGACTTCCTGTAGTCTCTCAGAGCTGGGGAAAGAAAAACTGCAGGGCGCAACCCATAGGAAACACCTCATTTTTCAGCTAAGACCTCTGAAAAGGGCTACACCATAAGAGTAAAGATGCATTGAAGCTAGTCCTTCACAAAGACTTAAACCTCAACAATCATAAACCCTTAAAAATGTCAATAAACTCAATAAATATCATTTTCACATGAACTGCTTTAGTAAGTAAGATCAATGTTCTATTTAGACTTAGAAACGTTTGCTATACAAACACCTGACAGGATCAAGCTGAGCCTTCTTCTACTGTGTGTCCAAAAAAATTTAAAAAGTAAACCACCTCTGAAGAAAGAAAACATCAACCAGATCCTCAACAACTTCTCACACACAATGCCCAGTATAAAAACTTATCAGGCATGTTAGAAGACATGATCATTATATCTAAAAACAAATGGAAAAAAACAATGACAACAGAAACTGATTCAGAAGAAGATCTCAATTTGATGCTATCAGATGTTGTTGTTGTTGTTAGGTGCCGTTGAGTCATTTCTGACTCATGCACAGCAGAACGAAACACTGCCCTGCCCGATCCCGCACCAGCTCCATGATCCCTGCTATACTTGAGCCCATCATTGCAGCCACCGTGTCAATCCATCTCATTGAAGGCCTCCCCCTCTTTCATCGATCCTCCACCCTACCAAGCATGACATCCTTCTCCAGGGAATGGTCCCTTCTGACAACATGACCAAAATAGGTGAGATGAAGTCTGGCCATTCTCACTTCCAAGGAGCATTTCGGGTGCACTTAGAGACATTAAAATAGCATTGATTAAAATGGTCAAGAAAATAGTTGACAAAATGGAGAACTGCACCAGAGATGTGAGCTATAAGAAACTGGGAAGTTTAGTGAACAATATAACAACTGAATTAAGAACTCAACAGAAGGGTTTAACAGCAGATTAAACATAGCAAAACAAGCTGATTAATGATCCAGAAGATATATTAGTAAAAAATATCCAATCTTAAACAAAGTAAGAAGAAAATAGGAAAACAAAGAAAGTCAAAGTTATCCATTGCAAACAGGAAAAATACAAAGAAAACAATACCGAGACACATTATAGACTAACTGCTAAAAGTTAAAGAACAACAACAAAAAAAAACCATAAAGGAAAATGTACACATCAGTGAGCAACACACTAACAGCTGACTTTTTAACAGAAATGATGAAAACCACAATAAATGGGATATGATCTCAAAACTGAAAGAAAATACACTATAATTCTATGCCAAGCAAATAAACCCTTCAAAAATGAAAGGAAATAAAGACATCTTCAGGTAAACCAAATCTGAGAGAATTGTTCCAGCAGACTTGCATTTAACTATAGAAAATAGCAATCCCAGAAGGAAAAAACATCAATATGTAGATATTCAAAATGCATACTGATTACACTGAACATATATGTATTATAACACAGAATGTATACAACCAACAACTATAATGTCTATCATGTGTTTTAGTTCTATATCTGTTATTAAACTCCACAATACCAAAAATGATGACAGTAAAAGAAACAGAAACAAAAAGCCACTGTCACTGAGCTGATTCCAACTCATAGCAACCCTATGGAACAAAGTAGAAATGCCCCGTAGGGTTTCCAAGGCTGTAAATCTTTATGGAAACAGGCTGCCACATTTTTCTCCCATGCATTGGCTGGTGAGTTCAAACTGCTAACCTTCTGATTAGCCACCAATCATTTTAACCACTGAGCCACTGGGGCTCCTTAATGATGATAATTGTTGTTAGATGTCACTTCTGACTTATAGCAACTATATGTACAACAGAATGAAACACTACCCAGTCCTGCACCATACCCACAATTGTTATTTTTGAGCCCACTGTTGCAGCCATTGTATCAATCCATCTTGTTGAAGGTCTTCCCCTTTTTGCTGACCCTCTACTTTACCAAGCATGATGTCCTTCTCCAGGGACTGACTGGTCCCTCCTGATAACATGTCCAAAGTATGTGAGATGAAGCCCTGCCATCCTTGCTTTAAGGATCATTCTGGCTATACTTTTTCAAAGACAGATTTGTTCATTCTTCTAAAGTCCATGATATATTCAATATTCTTTGCCAATACTATCAATTCAAAGGTATCAATTCTTCTTCAGTCTTCCTTATTCATTATCTAGCTTTTGCATGCATAGGAGGTGAGTGAAAATACTATGGCTTGGGTCAGGTGCACCTTTGTCCTCAAAGTGACATCTTTGCTTTGAAACACTTTAAAAAAGTCTTTTGCAGCAGATTTGCACAGTGCAGTAAATAAAGTTAAATTGTTTTAAGGTTAATGCATTATCTAAAAATCAAAATCAAACTCACTGCCCTCAAGTCGGATCCAACTCATAGCGACCCCTCCTTGGGTTTCTGAGGCAGTATCACTATGGAAGTAGATTGCCCAACCTTCCTTCTGAGGAGTGTGGCTGGTGGGTTTGAACCACCAGCCTTCTGGTTAGCAGTCAAATGCCTTAGGCACTATGCCACCAGAGCATTATCTACGAAATGGTAGAAGACTCATTTCTGGGAAAACATTCAAAAAATGCCTAAAGAAGAAAAGCCACTGGAAGGGATAAATTAAAATTTTTTAAAAACTGAAATCCCAAAACAGGCAAGAAAGAGAAAAAAAGAAACAAAGAACAGATGGGTTAAACAGAAAAGAAATAGTAAGATGATATAGTTATACTGTAACATAATTAAATAATAATAAATGTTGTTGTTGTTATGTGCCATCGAGTTGGACCCGACTCATAGCGACCCCTCCTTGGGTTTCCAAGGTGGTATCCCTACGGAAGTAGATTGCCCAACCTTCCTTCCGAGGAATGTGGCTGGTGGGTTTGAATCACTGGCCTTCTGGTTAGCAGTCAAATGCCTTAGGCACTACGCTACCAAAGCTCCTAATAATAAATAGTAAAACGGATTAGTTACACAGTTAAGCCCTTGGCTGCAAAACAAAAAGTTGGCAGTTTGAACCCACTCAGTGACTCTCTGGGACAAAAACACTGCCATCAAGTTGGTTCCAACTCATAGTGACCCCTTCTTGGTGGTCCTAGAGATCTGCTTCCCTAAAGATTATGGCCAAGAAAACCCTAAGAGGCAGTTCTACTCTGTCACAACACGTTGCTATGAGTTAAAATCAACTCGATGGCACCCATCACCAACCACCACCACCACCTAATTTGTTATTTTTAAATGTAAAAAAGATTTATACAGTAAAAAAAAAATGGTATAAATGGAAAAGAAAAAAGTCCTCTTCTCATCAGTTTCTATTCTTTCCTCTTCCCCTCCCTTGCTCCCTCACACAAACAAGCGAGCTCGCTTGCTCTCATTCTGCTTTCTCTCCCTCTGCTCTCTATACACAGTTTTTTTAGAAAATAAAAAAAGTATTTCTAGAATCTAAGTGCAAATAAAATGAAAATTTTTTTTTTTAAAAAAGAATATTAAATTGTAATCCCAGTTCTACTGGGATCAGAGCCAGCTGAGTATCATTTCCTAGCATTATGCCTTCAGTAATCACTATCAGTCTGTTTCTCATTTATAAAAATGAAGGGAGGGAAGAATGGTACCCACCTCATGCTGTTGTTATGAGCATGAAAATAAGAATGTATCTGAGGCTCATAGCACAATGATAGACACACAGCTCATAACTAAGGGTGCAACAATTTTAGTTGCTGCTAGCATCATCATCATCACTATTGTCATCACCATCCTGGGCAAGTCTTGACATCTACTGCAATTCTACAAAATGGGAAAAGCAATGCCTCAAATGGTATATATAAGGATAATCTTTGAAAGCACCCTAAACACTTATTTTTATCTTGATTATCAAAAGTCAGGGGGAAAAGGTCTTTTTGTTGTTGCTTCTGTTTAATATTCTGTACTTAAAGGAAACACATTAGTAATAACTATATGCCACAGCTGCTCTAACATCAGTGGATATAAGCATTTCTTACCAAGTTACGTTTTTTTAGTGGAAGAAAGTAATAATAGTGGCAGAAAGAAAACATCAGTGCGTAGCAAGTAAGAAGTTCTGTGTAGAAACACAACTGCAGAAAAAGCCAATGATTATCTTCACCAACACAATTGTTAATCCTGAAGGGAAAAAAATGAAAAAGAAACAATATTTTAAACATTAATAAGATGTTAAATTTCAGGACTGGTAAGACTATAAAACTAAAAATACACACAAACAACTTCACATACACTCAACTTCAGAGATATGATAAAACCTAAACACAACAGTACACAGAAAAGGACACAGTCTATGTACGTGATCCTCCTTCAACTCACAGTAACCCAGTGAGGCAGGAAGAGCAGAAAGTAGTCTCCCTGTTTTATTGGTATGAAAACAGGAAGGAGAGAAACCAGTTGTCAGAGAAGAGAGAGTGACCGAGAAAAGAAGAACTTTGTTTCCTGTATATTTTTCCTCTATTACAGCATTCTAGCTGAAAGCATCAAAATAATGTAAGTTAGGCTTGCTACTCTAACATAGCTAAGTACTCACAATTTTTCTTACCCTTAAAATCTATCCTTGGTTGGTGAAATTAAAAAAACAAATATTCCAAACTATTTACAAATACTTAGAAGGTACACAACTGTCAATATAATAATGAACCCTAACAAGAGAAAGATTTAAATGTTACAATTCCCAAATTTTCAAAGCTAATTCAAGCTTAATATTTTATTATTTAAGATGTATTTTACTCAAAATGTTCAAAGTATTTTAGAATCTAGCAGAAAACCCTATCATAAAATTGTAAAATTACCTTACAGAAATTATTTTATCTCAAATTAGCTGTCACTGTTTGACGGAGGGTGGGAGGATATAATAGGTTCAGTTCCTAACTTAAAATTGTTGCTTTGAGGTATGTTGCTAAACTATTTCAAAAAATCAAATATAGAACTAAAAACCTGGCAGAGGTATTTCTTGGAGTTAAGAGCTTATGCTTTGTAAACAGGAAAATTCAGTGTGTTGTGCTATCTACAAGCAGACCCATCACAGCAGTGTGCTAGGTGCATACTCAAATATGCTCAGCAAACACCTGTGGCTAGGAAAAATGACTTTTCCTGGTCCCATCCTTTCTGTTCTCTAAAAATCTGAGAAATAACTGCTATGATCACAGAATTCTTCTTAATCAGAGAGCTTGAAGATATACTAAGGTATTCAAAGTGTAAGTTAAGAGATTTTTTATGTAGCACTTAAACTACTTAGAGTGATCAGAGCCAAAAATGTAAGAATCCTTGAGGAATCACAGAATTGACCCCCGAATCTAAAGTTCCTGGACAATTAAGATAATGCAATTTCTGAAAACATCAAAAAGTCTCCTTGCTTCCAATTCACACTGTACATTTCATTGCTAAGTATCTCGGCCGTGTTCTGCTAGGGAATTTAATACGCAGGAAAATCCCTCAGTTTATTGAGGTCTCTAGTCTATTCTCTTTTCTATCCAAACCTTTCTATTTCCCATCTCCCTCTCAGCAATATTGTTAGACGCTGATGAAGACTGTGGAAACAAAAGGACAAAGAAATGACCTCAATGTCAGAATTTAGGTTAAATAGCACTTTACTTTATCACCAATAAGTCACAGCCTTTATTCCTTAAAAATATATAAGTAAGATCACTAGTTCCTATAGAACAAAATACTTTCTAGATGATGGTTTATTTTTTAATTCTTAAAAAAGAAATGACTGCATTCTTTTGAAAAGATACATCAATTTCCAACTGAATCAGGAACATTTATTTATTTTTTATCAGAAACATTATACTAAAAAGTGTATGAAATGGAGGTTCTCAGTGTGATTACCGCTTAAATGAATATATGTTTCACTCTTGCTTTTCTTAATCTACAACTAGTGGGACTATAAACAGATCACTGAGGTGGTTTAGAAAATCACTTGGGAATTAATCTATTTAAATTCAAGGCACTGTTTTTTAACACCTACTATCTGTTATACATAATATTCTCCTATTGACAAAATTAGATAATTTTTTTAAAATTTATATAGTAACCAAGTACTTTCATCTAAAATATTCTTATTCTTTCCTAATCTCAACAAATTACTTTTTAGATAAATAATCAATTTTAACTAAGTTTCCACTAACACTAATTAAGTATGCTTTCAAAATAAGTTATCAAAAATAAGGGAAGCTCCAAATTGGTTAAAATTTCTAGGCAAAGCTAAACTCTACCCCTGAGCTAATTTTAGATAAACACTTTCAAATTTAGTTAAGTACAGTTAACTCTGTATCATGCATCCATGTATGTATAAACAAATATTTATGTATAGAGATATATTTACAAAGTGCTATACTATTATGAACCTAAATATTTATACAGAGATCCAATGCTTGGAAAACAGAATCAAATACAATATCTTGTTCACAGATTTTTGCGACAGCTTTCAAATGAGATACAATGCAGAATTCTCACTGCACTTGTTTTAAAAATTCCATTCCTCAACTGAACATTTTATGTAAATATTACGAGAGCCCCCTACTGACCAAAAATATTGGCAGTACAGCAGAATCAGCTAACTATCACTTACATGCATCCAACATGCATGTAGTGTTAATACCTATATCCAATGCTTGATACTGAAAGAGGCTTAATTTGGGAGGAAGGGGTAACAGGATATCTGAACAGAACAAATTAAACAAATGGAAAGGGGGATAAAAACCATAGGAAGGATGTAGCTTATTATAATTAGAAATAAAAAGTTACTACTAAAGTATTTTTATTTCTTGTGCCAGAAATTATATTAATCGCTTTATATACATCAGCTCATTTAATGCAACCACTTTAGTTATTTTATAGTATTTGGGTGCGTATCAATTCTCATTGTTTTCTGTTCAAAATTCTCTTTGTTGGTAAAGACAGGATCTCTGTAAGGGGGCAAAAACACTTTGGGAGAAATTGACAAAACTAAACAATGATGTAAGGTATCCCTTAATTCCAAGGTTCTATAAAACTGTATTATTTCAATATAACTTTTTTAAAACCTGCTAAGAACTAAACTTTACTTTTTCCTACTTATCTTTCTTAGTTTTGCTTACGAGTGAATTTTTCTTCTCTTACCATGGACAGTGATGATCCATTCTCCTAACACAGTGTCCGCAGCGGCTGCAGTGATGGGAACGCTTTGGTCTCATCAAATTACACTTGTTACACAATTCCCAGAACTCCCTTTCTATAGAAGGAAATTAAAACTCATTTAATGAAAGCAAATGACTAGTGTTGAAATAAGACTATAAAGTTTTTACAAGATTTTATAGGAAATCTTCAAAATATATGTCTGAGAGAGATTTCTTCTTCTACATCTCCAATGCAAATGTTTGTTGTAAATACTGCTGTTCCATTCTATGTGTGTCTCATTTTGTAATTTTCTAATTTTAAACACTATAAAATAAGATACTATTGTTACAGTCAAAGGGACAGAAAACAACATTCTTGGGTTTTGGACATATTTCTAAATGTAAGTTAAATACAATGATGAAAATCAAAAATACAACCAAATTATTACATTAAAACAGAATTTTATTTAAATGAATTAATTTCTAGAAATAACATTATCTAAACACACTATTTTTACAAAGAAATAATGCTGAGTCCTGGTTGCAGTGGATTAACGAAGCTAAATCAACCCTATAAACTCACTGAAGAAAAAAAGATGGCATTTCCCTCCTTTCTCTAAACAATTTTAGTTTTTTAATACTAAGGGAGTCATTTGGCAATGTGTGTGGCAGAAGGGTGGAGAAGGATGTTGGATGAGTTTAGGAGATATTAGAATAATTTCAGTAGCGAAGAAGGTTAGAAGAAAATTACTATGTAATGGAAATACAGGAGTTCTTTACAAAACTCTGCCCTATCATCAAGTAACAATTTCCAGAGGAACTCTGGTGGCACTGTGGTTAAAGCACTGGGCTGCTAACCAAAAGATCAGCAGTTCAAACCCACCAGCTGCTCCATGGGACAAAGATGAGGCCTTATCCTTCCATAAAGATTTACAGCCCTAGAAACCCTATGGGAATGCTCACAATCATTAGCCATTGCTGCTGTTGTTATTATGCACCGTCGAGTCAGACCCAACTCATACTGACCCCTCCTTGGGTTTCTAAGGCAGTGTCACTATGGAAGTAGATTGCCCCATCTTCCTTCCGAGGAGTGGCTGATGGGTTTGAACCGCCAGCCTTCTGGTTAGCAGTCAAGTGCCTTAGGCACTATGCTACCAGAGCTCCCTCATTAGCCATTAGAGAGATGCAAATCAAAACAACAATGAGATACCATCTTGCCCCAGCACTAGTAGCAAAGTTCAACAAGATAGAATAACAACAAATGCTGGCAAGGATGTGGAGGAACTGTGACTCTCATACACTACTGGTGGGACTGTAAAATGATACAACCACTGTGGAAAGCAGAATTAGAAATACCATTTGACCCAGCCATCCCATTACTAGGTATATATCCTAAAGAAGTGAGAGCCATGACAAGAACAGACATATGCACACCAATGTTCATCGCAGCACTATTTATAATAGCCAAAAGATAGAAACAACTTAAGTGTCCATCAACTGAGGAATGGATAACCAAACCGTGGTACACACACACAATGGAATACTATGCAACCCTAAAGAATAACCTAGAATCTGCAGAACACCGCTAATGTGGATGAACTTGGAGGACGGACATTATGCTAAGTGAAATAAGTCAATCACAGAAGAACAAATATTGTATTAGCTCGTTATTATAAGTCAAGGTACGGTTGATCTATGGAAGGAAATTTTCTTTGTTGGTTACCAGGGGTGGGAGGGGAGGGGAGGGAACAATGTTAGATAGAGAGAGATAAGTATTGATTTGGGTGAAGAGAAGGGCAATGTACCAAATTTGAGTTATTGACATGGTGGCACTGAGGAAGAGGAAGACATAGAGAGGTACATGGGAGGTACAGACAACAAAGATGAACCCTTTGGCATATACAGTACTACGTTATCAGTGAAGGCAAGCATGGGTATACAAGTGGGTAGATGGGTGGGCAGGTTGAACTATTAAGTATGTCTATGAAGTGGGGAGTGTACCCAAGACCATGTATAGGGTTGGCAGACAATGGTCCTATAAGTGTATTTGTATGATCTGTAAGAATTCCCAAGTGTATAATAGAGCTGACAAGGGACAAGGTTGTAGTCACTTCTTGGTCACAGCCAGCTACCCAGAGGGACTGAGTAGTTAAACCTGTGGGCTCGGGACCATAGTCACAGGAGACATCAAGCTCAATTGGCATAACATACTACACAAAACACTGTTCCACCTCCTACTGTGACGAGTAGCGACTGGGATCCTAAAAGCTTGCAAGCAGCCATCTAGATGCAACAACAGGTCTTTCCTCATCCTGAGCAAAGAAGTAAACCAAAGATTCATGGAAACAATCAGTCACAGTGAATTGTACACCATGCGATCTGCAGCCTATACACCATGGGACCAGAAGAACTAAATGGTGCCCGGCTACCACTGTCAACCACTCGGAGGGGGATCTATGTAGGAGATCCTGGATAGAGAGGGAGAACAAGGTGGAACAAAACTCAAATTCATTTGGAGGGGGGGGAGGGACCAGGTTTGCTGGTGGAACCCCTGAGACTATGGCCCCTAGCTGCCCTTCAGGTTTGGAATTGAACCCACACCTGTTGGCTTCCAGCCAAACAAAAGACAGGCATATGAGTTGAACATGTACCTGAGGTAGATACAGTCCTCCTTGGAGAGAGCAATCATGGGAGAAAGAAGGGCTGCTTATGCACAGGGAGACAGTTCAGGGGACAGGAGTGCAGGGGAGGGATGGACACAGGGAAGAGGTAACTATCAGGAGGAAGTGGGAGGGGAGCTGTTGCATTGGGTAAATTGTAGGCAATGTCATGAGACAGTGTATGTGAACTGCTGCATGAAAAGTGAATTTGCTCTGTAAATTTTCACCCAAATCACAATTAACAACAACAACAACAAAAAAAGATCTTTCAGGAATGAAAAAAAGTGAGCATCAAATTAATTCATGGTTAAAAAAAAGAAGAAAGAAAGAAACCTTATGGGGCAGTTCTACTCTGTCCGCTGAGTTGCTATGAGTAGGAATCGACTCAATGGCAGTGTGTTTGGTTTGGTTTGGTTTGATAGTGAGAAGAGTAAACAGCAACATTCTGTGCTAAAAACACCAAGTTTTCAGAAACAAAGAGAAAAAGCACTTGTTTTCATTATAAACTGCTCTAATCAGACACATAAAAATGATATGGGAGAATTATGCACCAAGACAAGATAACTGCTTTACTACAAAGAATGTATCTTTTTAGTATTTGACAAAATGGAATTGTATTTACACAAAATTCTTAGACCTTCCATCACTTACATCTAAACTTACCAAATAACCTCCTTAAAGAGATGGATGTAGTAAAATTAAGCTAACTATCAAAATACTGACTGAATATTATACTGTGTATATTAGTATATACAGAGTGGGACTGCAGCACATAGGAGGCACTCAGTGGATGCCTACTCAGGTATGAAAAGTTTAAAACGAAGAAATGAAATATTTTAAACATAAGAAGAAGAAAATACCAGTAGGTAGTCTTCAATTTTCTGCAGATATTTCTAATCTGAATTCAATTTTTTTAGCTTAGTCAGAAGTAACATCAATATACAATAACTTTATAGAGCAAAGCACTGAAAAGACATTCTGCTGTAAATGCCAGTAAGAGCCCTGGTGGTACAGTGGTTAAGTACTCAGCTGCTAACCTAAAGGTCTGCTGTTTCAAATCTACTAGCTGGTCTAGTGAGAGAAAGATGAGGCAGCCTTGGAACTCTATGGGGTAGTTCTACTGTCCTACAGGATCACTGAGTCAGAAGTGACTCAATGGCAATACGTATAGATGTCACTGAAGAAATTAATAAAGTGTGAATAAAATTTATATCAAACTAATTATTTGTTCCAATAATATACATAATACATTTAAAGGCTAATTTCAAATTAAAATCCTCCCTCATTTTTTACTAACAATTCTTTTAATGAAAATCATATCATGTGAGAGAGCAACAACAGTAAAGCTTAATTTAGAGATCAATAAACCAGTAATATTTAGCTGTGAGGTGGAAGCTCATTTAAAATACAACATAATATGGTGTAACAAGCATGTTAGTTTTTCCCACTTAGCTCGATGCTCACAAACATCCCAAGGTTATACTAAAATTCTGAATTTATATATTGCAAGGAATAGAGACATGAAGTAGATTCTTCACACTACTACCTCAATGACCTAGTTTTCAATAAAAAGACAACATAAAAACTTCATGTTCTTAACCAGTCCCTTAAAACATAAATGTGGTGTATTCATTATAGGCAATTTCAAAGAAGGTAACATGTAATATTCTAGAGAATGAACTCTTTTTTTCATGCTTGAAAGGCTGTAGTCTTAGGAAGGAAAAGAGCATTTGGTTATTGTCAGAGAAAGTCTGTAATTCTGTAATTTAGACCAGAAGTTGGCAAACTACCGTCTGTGGGCAAATCTAGCCTATCACCTGTATTTGTACAACTTGTGAACTAAGAAAGATTTTTATTATTTTAAATAGGTGAAAAAAAGTTTTTAAAAATAATTTGTGACAAGTAAAAATCATATAAAATTCAACTTTCAGTATCCATTAAAAAAAAGGGTATCTGAACTCACCTATACAAATTCATATACAAATCATTTATGACTGCTTTTGTGCTACGATGGCAGACATGACTAGTTGCAACAGAGACTGTGTAATGGCCCATCTGGCCCTTCATAGAAAAGAAAATGTTTGCCAATCTCTGGTCTCAACAATAAATGTGTTTAAATAAAGAGCCCTGAGCCATTCCTTTGGCTAAATCACATACTAAGTTAGGCACTAATCGAGTTTCTGAAAAAAGAAATACTTATGTGAATTCACATTTTCATAAACACACACATATCCCAGTATGTTCAGGCAACAGAGAAGAAATCACTATTATAAAAATCTGGAAATTCAATTACTGTATCATCTATACGCAGATTTATATTTTAAAGTTCCCAGGACATTATATGATGTTTTTATCAATAAAAAAACCACCACCAACAAAAAACAACTACTAACCTTAATCTATCCTACATACCAATAATTAGAATAACCACCTTGTAGACTTTTTCTTTTCCCTATTCAGGGTCAAAAAAGAGAATCTAATTGATAATTTATGGAAGCCACAGAAAACAATACTTTACACAGACACATTTTTGTTAAAGGGAAGAATAATAAAAATATAAGATGAAGAAAAAAAAGACAAACCCCATAAAAAATTGAAAATATTTAATGTGACAAAATAGCATCACATTGTTTAACATGGATCCATATGAATGCCTTAAATACCTAAACGAAAGAAAAGATTTCATTTTGTTTTGTTTTGTTTATCCCTCAGAAAAGAAGGTGTCACCTTCTACTGAATCTTTCAGAAGTCTCTTATAGTAAGGGGCCCTCTTTCAATTACTTTATTTTAAATCACAAAACGTTTTTATCTTAAATCACTAAGCAACGTTTTAGGGAGAAAAACATAATTTGAAACTAACGAATTCAGTACCAGATTTGGGTCCTACTAAAGGTCCCGCCAGAATCAGCTGTCTGTACAGGAAATTACTGTAACTAAGCCTCTTACATGACACCTTTAAAAAGTAATATAACAGGGAGAGGAGAAGCTAAAATATGAGCGACTAACTGACTGTGATCGTTATTATATACATTATATGCATATGTATAGCCTGGGGTAAAACTAGGAGGGACAACATCAGACAAATTCAAAACATGCTATATTTAAAACAACCTAAGTGGAAGGGAGATGTTTGCTCTGTAATACTGTATCAAAAGTGGCTCCAGTGATGTCAAAACACTGACATCAAACATACAAGTTAAAATCTCGATGATGAAAATGTTCTAAAATTGGCAGTGGTGACATTTGCAAAGTTCTGTAAAAATATCAGGAGCTTGCACAGTTCTGTAAAAATATTAGGAGCTCTGGTGGCATAGTGCCTAAGGCATCTGACTGCTAACCAGAAGGCTGGCACATCAAACCCACCAGCTACTCCTGGGAAGGAAGGTTTGGCAACCTACTTCAGTAGTGATACTGCCTCGGAAACCCAAGGAGGGGTCACTATGAGTAGGATTTGACTCAACAGCAGTGAGTTTGGTTTTTTGGTTGGTAAAAATATTAAAAGCCACTGAATTGTATCCTTTAAATGGGTAAATTATATATGGTATATGAACTATACTCAAAAAAGCTGTTTTTTCATTTGTTTGTTTTAAAGTTTTGAATAAAATCATTTCATAAAACATCAAACTGGCAAAACTAATCTTTCTAAATTGAAAGTATTACTTTGTTTGTTATTTCAAACATGCATGTGTAACTACATGAATAATCTGAGTAATAGAAGTAGACAAATAGTTAAAATGAATTGAACAATTTCATTTGCCTGTTTCATCTATATGCCCAAAAGGTTATAAATCAAATTCTGGAAATCCTATCAATGGGAAAATGGAACAGTCCCTTTTTCTTACACTGCCCCATATTTGGGCATATATAGAGGGTCTCAATATATAAAAGTTATTCTAAGAAAACAGAAAGGTATATAAAATATTTCAGAATAATTAAATTTAAAATAGTTAAAATCATAAACATTTTCCTTTCTGAAGATTTCAATGATACAAATCTGTACAACCTACAACAGTGCTGAATAAATAGCACTGTTTTACAGCCTCAACTCTTTAGTTAGGCTATAGTAGTTTTCACTGTTGAAATTTTATATCTATCTATCTATATATAAAGTTAAAACTGTATTTACAAATGAATCAAGTAGCCAACACCAACAAGTACAGAATGACTTAAATTTTCCCTAGGATCAAAGCACAGGTGAGTGAAGGGCCAAAATTATTCATCTATGTATTGATTCATGGTAAAGAGAAGGTAGAGACAAGGATCTGAGTCTCACGCCAGCTCTGTCACAACCAGCTGTGCGATCCACAAAGGACAAGCTATGCTCCCAATTGCGATTACCCAGACTATCTACTTGATGCAATTACCATGAGGATCATATGATGTGAGATACCAGAAGACTTTAAAAACATTAAAATATGATAAAATAATACTTTCTTTTTTCAACTGGGCAAAAAGAAAGGTTTCTAGATTCAGTAGAGGAAAACGGAGCAAATGAAACTGAAACAAGATATAATACAGAACCTGTAAAGAGTCAGCAAGATGCCTTATGTTCTCAATTCTTCATCCATAAGCTGAAGGTAACAGTGGTTACACCACGTAGCCTCAGGCCCACAGATTAAATCTGTTTGATATCCAAATTTTTAAAATTTTGAATTATTGGTCAACAGTTTTTTTAATCATGAAATGTCAATAAAAATTGAGATTCCCTGTTTTCTCTTTAAAAAATCGTACAATCTAATATTGGTCCAGCATAACAATTTCACTATAGCTGTTTAGTAGTCATTTCCTTTGGGTAAGATACAACACTTTCAATATTAACTACTTCCCACCTGGCCAATTTCACTGACTTGTAGTTTGTGTCTGTTACATACAGCCATTTGAGTTTTAGACCCCTACAAACTAAAGAGTTCATTTTAAATGGTTCTGAATGAGGAAAAGTCTGCTTGAATTTCTGAGGCCGCGGTTTTAGACTTGAAATAGGTAACACATATATACAATAGTTCAGAGAGCCTTTGGTAAGGACAATTGGAAAGAAGAGGTATTCTACCCAAAGCATAGAGCACCACACCCCAAAAACCAACATACCTGTGGGTATGCACGCACACACACACACACACACACTAAATGCTAAGTGACAGCAGTGTTTCTTTAAGTTAAAAAAAAATTCAACATGGTTTTCAGAAAACTCTACACTACATAAATACCAGTAGCATAATGTTACCATGTAATCTCTAAACTTGCAAGGCCAAGTAAACCTTTTAAATGATGGGTCTCAAAAAACAACAATCAGGAACTCAAGAGTCCCCTTAAAACTAATTTTGTAAAGAATTACTACATCAGTTCCCAAACTTTGCTGCATATTGGAATCACCTGGGATGTTTAAAATAAACTGATACCTGGCTCCCACAACTCCTCCCCCCACCTCCAATTCTAATTTAATTAATATGGAGTGTGATCAGGTGATTCTACTGTGCAGCAAGTCTGGAAACCACTAATTTACTATAAAGAGCATTCTGGCTCTATTATGCACATCAAAGACACATACATTTCGTATTAGAAGAAAGTGCAGAGTTTGCACCAAAAAGTGAGACTTAGGAAAGAAGATAAATGAAGTTGTACTCTTTCTGGCAGCTACAAAATAAGCAATACATTTTCAATTCATTTTTGTGGGTGGAGTGATCATTATGCAACAGGATGATCACATTTCAACTGGTAAATAACTAGAATAAGGAAAAGCTTTCAAATTTTATACTGAATTGTTAGATCTTGGAGCAGTATGGGCAATAGTACCCATAATGCTACAAATATTTATGCCAAGTAATATAATATCATAAGGTAAATGACATCAAGAAGATTCATTTATTAAAATAAAAAACATAATTTCTCAGATAATTATATAACCATTGGAAAAATATTTACCCAGCAACTACTAAGTAAGGGAGACTGTTCTGAGCACCAGGGATATAGCATTGAACAAATGAAGAAAACAAACAATATCTATACCTTCACAGAGCTTACTACAGAGACAGAGCAGAAGGAGGAAGTCAAACAAACAAGGACACTGAAAGGGAAAGCCAGGGAGTGGGGGGAATGTGAGGAGTTGGGTGGGATTTGTAATTTTAAACACAGAAGCCTAGAAAGGAAACATATGAGCAAAGACTTGAAAGTGGTGTTAAATGACATATATATAATTGATATATATTAAAGGCAGTGAAATACATTAAAAAGATCATTCTGGCATGAAAAAAGTGATGAATTTGAAAAGCACCATACCTCCATGTGGGATCTTGGGGTTTTCAGGGAGTCTTCCTGGATCAGTTATTGAGGCCCTCACTAAGGCAACCAGACAAAATATGGAAATGCCATAGAATACTTTAAAAGAAATAAATAAACTAGTTATTTACCCTTCAAAACACTTTATCAACAAGCATATTTAAAATTTAAATTGTACAATTCGATCTGTACCATCAGAATAAATAATTAGGAAAGATAAAAGATTTAATGCCTAGAGCTTTTCACTCAACAAGTAATTCTCTCAAGCAGACAATCTTAAGTGTACTTGTTTTGAATCTTATTTTTGCATAATAATAACCAACCAAACTTGTTATAAATCTGATTCTTAATTAACTGAGAGATTCCTTATAAGTAATAGTATAAATGAAGGGATTCTCTATTAATTACTACATGTACTATATTTGAAAGGATCAAAACAGCATTTTTCAAAACGTTCAATAATTAAACTTTTTCATTAACTCTAACTGGCTATCTTCAACATTACTCTGAATTAGTGAAGTTCAACAGCCTCTTTTGATGGATCTTAAGAGGTCAAAATGAGTCTGTGTACATGAGAACTGTACAATATATTACTTCAATCTGATTCTTCTAATCATTAGAAAGTCACTGCCAGATTATGGCAGAAAATAACTATGCAGAAGTTCAAAGTGTTATCATAACATTACAATCAATAATTTTAGTATCATGAAATTTTCATTTCCCAGTGATATATATCGTCTCCATTCTTAAAACTCCATACTTGCACATACAAAACAAATACATTCAAAATACACACCAAAACCCCATCCCGTTGAGTTGATTCTGACCAATAGTAGGGAGTAGAATTGCCTCATAGGGTTTCCAAAGCCATAATCTTTACAGAAGCAGATTGCCACGTTTCTCCCACAGAGTGACTGGTGAGTTCAAACCACCAATGTTTCAGTTAGCAGTTAAGCACTTTAACCACTGAGCCATCAGGGCTCCAAAAATATACACAGATACACATATATCATCACTATTAAAAAAACCAAACTCACTGCCGTCAAGTCAAATCTGACTCATAGCAACCTCTCCTTGGGTTTCCAAGGCAGTATCTCTACAGAATAGATTGTCCAACCTTCCTTCCGAGGAGTGGCTGGTGGGTTTGAACCGCCAGCTTTCTGGTTAGCAGTCAAAGACCTTAGCCACTACACCACCAGAACTCCCATCATCACTATAGCACCAGTTTTTTCCCACACAAAATGATCTTTTCATATTTTGCAGCATTAGATAAATATGGGATATATTAATTTATCTCATGCTGCAAAATATATAAGGACCATTCTTTTTTAAAATTCCCACAATATAGTAAATCATTTAATATTAATAGTACTGTGGTATTAAAAGGAAGGTTATCATAGTGGTACTATACTTCAAAAATATTGACAATGAGAAAAACCTTTAATTATACAAGAAAATAAGCGCTAGAAACTTACTTATTATTAGTATGCCTGGAATATGTCCTTCTTCATAGTGAGGAAAGAGAACAATTTTGGGAATTATAACAATATTGTATAACCAGACAAAGACAATCAAACCCATGCAGCACCAACCATGTGGGTCAACAACAAAGTGAATCCGGAGAGCCATTTTGCAGTCTTATAACTGCCTGCCAACCCACAAGGAGAGATGAGCCTAAGGAGAGGGGAAAAAAAATTACTTATAGAGAAAACAATGATTCAATTAAAACAAAACTGCATTCCTAGTACCTATAAAATGGCACATTTAGTTTTCTTTATATATTGGGTTCTTTTGAGGACAATATAAAAGACTGGAAAACAGAAGCTCTGTGATAATTCAAATTCCACTGTAAACTTCAAATAATTTAATTTCCAGTTTTTACTACAGACTTCTATCAAGAATGTAAACTGGCACTATATACTGAAGGTAAAAACAAGTCTATCCTAAAAAAACCCATTGCCATTGCATCGATTCCAACTCACAGCTACCCTATAACACTGAGTAGAACTGCTCCATAGGGTTTTCAGTGCTGTAAATCTTTACAGAAGCAGGCCACCTCATCTTTCTCCCATGGACCCAGCAATTCCATGTTTCAATCCAAGAGAAATGAGTGCACATGTCTACCAAAAAATACATACAAAAATTCTCAGCAGCTTTGATCATAAGACTATCTGATTGTCATTTAAGTCAAAACAGAAAAAAAAAAAACCTCACTGCCATCAAGTCATTTCCAACTCACAGCGACCCCCACTGGGTTTCTGAGGCTGTAAATCTTTATAGAAGTAGATTGACCCATCTTCCTTCCACGGAGCAGCTAGTGGGTTTGAACCACCAATCTTCTGGTTAGCATCCAAATGCCTTGCCCACTGTACCATTATAGCTCCTTATAAGTCAAAACACCAAGTGTGGATTGGGGGGGGGCAGTTAGGTATTAACAAGAGTTACGAGGGAAACTTTGAGGGATTGGAAATGTTCCATCTATAGACAGAAATATTCTATACCTGTTGTTGTTGTTAAGTGCCGTCGAGTCGTTTCCGACTCATAGCGACCCCATACACAGCAGAACGAAACAC